CACAGTACTAGAATAAGCTACGAAGATTCATCGATCTCTACTCTAATCTGCATCTGTGGCGCGTCTGAACTAGGACTTACCGAATTGTTGATTCAGAGATGGTCGCTTCTTGGAGTTACCGTAATTCACCAAATGTACAGTGCCCTGAGAAACTGGATACACTGTAGTTCGCCGTCTTCTGAAATATCCTCGATTTTGACTTCTTGGCCGCACTTATGCTGCTCAGTACAGCTTACGGTATGTTGAAAAAGTCGCTGATTCTTTCCATTGTTGAGGGTTGACGTGAGTCTTGATTATGCCCTGTAATTAAGAATGATTGTAACAGGAGGTACTCACCACATTTCACTCACATAAATAAGTATCTATCTGTAAGCACATTCCACGGCCGTCGTGGGGGCGGAGCCGGCCTTTCCATTTTCCCTTCCTCCTTGGTGTGCCGTGCTCTCCACGACGTTGAAGATGAAGGATGCGCTAACAAGGAAGGTGCAACGGTACTTAGGTCAGACTCCTTGAGGCAAGCCCTAATTATGCTCCCAAGACTTAAAATTGACAACTCTATTTCCACTCAAGTTACTGATTCTACCCCTGTGAAGAGGGGGCTTATAGGGTTCGAGATCCCTACTCACCTTGATCAAACTTGCTCACATCCACAGACACCATTTTGACGTGGTCTTCTGGCTTGGCTACACTGAAATTCCATATCATTGTCACAGTTCACTTTGACAAAAGGGGCGATATAGGCCTATCGTTACGCCTTCCTCTTAAGTGACTCTTCTTTTCTGATTCGGCAACAACGAAGAGTGGTCTGACGGGGAAATACGGACATGTAGTTCACTGGTAGGCCTGACTCCTCCCTATGCTAGATGTACTGGTCGTTTAAAGGCAGTTGGCACGATAAATCCCCCAAGACGACTAGGATCAATACGCCTGGCAGGACGGAATTCCGCGACCCTGAGCAGGCGCTGCATAGCGGCTTTCCAAGGAAGGTGCCCTTATAAGGGCCCTATCAAGCCACAACATTACGACCCAAACGCCCGCCCCCGCCCGCCCACAAATGGACGACCGTTCCTGACGCTCGTATTCATTCATTTGCTAAGCAAATTATGAAGCGAAGGATTATATGAAGCGGCCGTGATGCTGCATGCTACATGTACACATATGCAGCCGTATCTTCGGTAGCGGTGATTGGCAAGATGCCTACGGGAAACTCGTCCGAAATCGATTTACAAGTCACTGAGAACGGAGGCTTTTTCTTCGCAGGATTTTGACCGTTTCACTCCGTTCTTTCGCCATTTCTCCCCCCACTGTATAGGGGGCCAAACAAGCAGTTCAGGCGAGTAGAAAGCGTCATGCCGACTGCCTTCTAAATACTGCACAGTATTACTGCGTACTGGTCGTTTGAAATAGGGCAGAAGTATTTACTATTAGCCAGGCGAGGCGTCGACATGGGTATATATAAACTGCCAGTGGGCCTGCACAAGCTGTTCACGTAGTCCTTGACCTGTGGGCATTAAAGTGCAGTTGACACGATAATGCTGGTAATGTGGTCTGAAATGGCAGGCAGGGTGCTACTGTAGTGGGGAAAATGAAAAAACCGAAGTGAACCTGCGAAGAAAGGCCTTCGTTCACAACTGCTGAAAAAGCAATTTCGGACGAGTTTCCCGTAGACGTCTTGCCAATGACCGCTACGGTAGGTACGACTGCACATATGTACCCATATATTCATGCAACACCACAAACGCTTCATATCGGTCCCTTCGCTTCATATTTTACTTAGCAAGTGAGGCAATATGCGGACTAGGTAAGGTCGTCCATTTGTAGGCGGGGAGGGGGAGCGGTGGGCGTCCGGGTCGATATGCAGCTCGATAGGGCCTTAGAAGGGTACCATTCTTGGAGAAGGCATTACGGAGCGGCTGCTCAGGGGCGAGGAATTTCGCCCTCCCAAACGTATTAATCCTACTCGTCTTAGAGATTCACCGTGCCAACTGCCCTTGGGAGCTGGGGCCGCGAAAATGTCTAGGGTCCATGAACGAGAGGCGGAAACGTACAATGCTCACCAAAATGTCGGTATGGGATTCTACTCACATTTGCTTTGACCTAGAGCCAGGCTCTTTTAATGATGGCTGCCTGCCCCATAGTAAACACCTGGAGGGAGTGGGTCTGGCGCTGCGCCTGAACGTACGTACGTATGTCTCCACTCGACGTCAAGCACGTATAGGAGAAGAGAAGAGAGCCGCTGCCACGACAGGCCCCTTGCTACGCCTGCATTTTGCGAGGCTCCATGATGGAGACAGTGTAAAAAAAATGGTAGGACTAAGAAAACTGACTCGATGCCTTCTGCTGAGCCGATCAATGTGTTGTCTCCACCCCACCGATAGCTGTCCTCTGAGTAAATAGGGTTATAGTTTGGATCGGAGAGTCGATCAGGGAGCAGATTTGGGCAAGTGTCATGTGTACTGTCCACTATAGAAAGCCCTGTCTGTAAATAAAATAACTAACATCAAAAAGTCCTGTTTTTGAAATAAACAGAAATAAATAAATATAATGGGCAGGGAATTACGAAAGGTCTGTACTATGGATTTTCCGCCTAAGCGCAGAATAATTCATTTTTTGGGAGTCTCCTAACCTGTTTACCCAAGATGGCCAACATTGTGACCTGAGGTAACTTGTGAGGGCAGGAGACGGCCAAGAGGATACGTTAATTTGCTAGCTCGTCGCGCGCGCGATGGGCGCGGGCTTTTTTAACTCTTGTTAACTGTCATATTGAGCCTGGGACTTCATATAATCCTTCATCGAGAATTCATGGATATTTTTTCAGTTCTGCATTTTGCCTGTTGTCGCCATCTACTACCTGAAACATCGTTATTTGCGGGCGCGACGTCGCACGCGACGCCTACCAGCGCGGCGAATTACTATCCTCTTGTCATGATACCGTGAGGGCATCGTTGGTCAAGATTGGCGGGTGGCCAATGATGCGGGAAGAGATCGGAAAGCGACGGCGCGGCCTGGGTGGTCAGCAATGATCACCGTAGGTCGCGCGGGAAAGTCGCTATAAGTAGCCCTCGGGGCATACTCGAAGAGGTTCTAGCCCAATCTACGTCGCCTGGCCTGCCCTCTCTCCGCTGCCGTTACTTCTTCGATCACCTAAAGAATTCGTTCTTCCTAACACCTGTTATTCGTTGTTCTAATAAATTATTGCTATTCGTCGAGTCCTGTACTGGGTGAAACTGGGGATATTCAGAAATGAAGAAGCAACAAGCCGACATGGGGGCCAAGCAGCCCAAGACGGATGGAGACGACGGAATGGATACCGATGGAGAGCAGGTTCGAACTTCAGAAGAAACGAAATTTCAGGTGCAGTCACCGCTGCTAAGTGAGATCAACGCCATCAAAAGGGCCTGCGATGAGGCCCTCAGCAGCCAGTTCAGGAACCTAGCCGAGTGCAAGAGAGTGGCTATCCTGAACGCGGTGGAGGCTGCTGCAGCAGAGGCAAAGGCCGAAAAGGAGGAGGCGCTCCAGGAAGTGAGCGACCTCCAAGCATTTTTGGTCGAAAGTGGACTGTCCGTTTTCCAACTGAGGTCCATATTGGAGGAGGCGGAGATCAACTTGGGGTTGGTCGAATCGCTGACCAGTCAAATGAAATGTGGGCGAGTCTGCTTAGCAAATGCGGTGACGACCTTGATCGAGGAGAGAGATGAATTGCTAGCTAAAGTAGCATCATTACAGGAGCAACTGGATGGATACCTGTCAGGAGGAAGGCAGGACGAGCAATTTGACAGCGACCACGAGGAGAAGAGAGGTAGAGAGCAATCTTTGAAAAAACTTGGTGAACCGAATATGATGGCTCTAATCAATGCAAAGATGACATACTGCAGGACCATCGGCAGTACGAGCGGACGACAGATGGGCGACAGAGGCACCTGAGAGGGGACTGTCAAGAAGAGTTTCAAGATGGTGCAACAAGGTGTTCCCGGCCAGACGATGAAGTGAGTCTCAGTTTGTTACTGGCAGCTTAGAAACTCGAGTAGGGAAGACCCGTCGTCCAACAGGGGACCTAGTCCGAAACCAGAATTGTGGGACGTTTTCAAAGCCATGCTGAAAGCCCAGACAGCTGCGGAAGTGGAGAAATACACCGGGAAAAATGCCTTGAGCGATTTCGTAAGGGCCTTCGATATAAAGTATCCACGGGAGTCCTGGAATAGTCAGGAACGACGCGAAATTCTGGTAACTCTGCTAGATGGTCCCGCAAAGCTATTGTATAGTAACCTCCCCAGGAGAATTCAAGAAGGGACATTCGAGGAGGTGATAGAAGCGCTGGAAAAAGCTAGGCGAGACCCATGTAAAAAGCTCAAAAAAGTAGAGGAATGGGACAGACTGCGTAAAAGAGACAGCGAAACAGTGGAGGAATTCTGTTACAGAATGGAGAGGGTTTCTAGCGAAATTCACGGTGACAGTGACCGAGACTTTCTACTAGGGTCCAAACTGCATGCATGTCTGTCGGAATGGAAGGACTCATACCACATGTTAGCCATGGAAGCCCCAGATGGGCTAGTGGTAAGCAGTCAAGTACGTTAAGGCAGCACTGCGACTTGAGCGGGCGCGAGAAGCGATGCGTTCAAGAACGCAATCAGGAGTAGGTCAGGAAGCGGGTCGAGTAGATCGCACTAGGCACAGACATCATGGTAAAGATGATGAGAGTGGTGAGGGTTCAGCTAGCAAAGCTAGCGAAAGGAGCACCCCAATAGTGGGAACTAAATGCTTCAGATGCGGAGGCATGGGGCACTTCGCTAGGAACTGTGCAAAACCAAGAGACCAAGATCAGCGACCACGAAGGGAGGAGAAGCAGAAGCGGAA